AGGGCACACAGACAAAGCGACACAAACAAGGTTTCTCTGCACTGGAAAGCTTAGGACCTCCTGGGGGAGACGGGTGTGTGTGTGTGTGAACTGATTTAATATGAGGTGATAAAGAACAAATAAACCACCTGGTGGGGGGAAGGGGCTTAGGGAAGCGCCATGGAAAAGGGGAGTATCTGAACATCCTCCTCTTCAAGCAAGGATGGGGTAAGGGGCCTTGGCAGAGCAGGGATGGCATACAGAGGTGTGGAGTTGGGCGTTTTTGAGCAGCTGCCACAGTGACACAGATCGAACTGGAAGTGACTTTAGGCCAATGACAGCTGATCAGTCACCTTTTTAAAATATATTTTTAATTAAAAAAAAATTTTTTTTTGAGGCACGGTTGTACATAGCCAGGCAGGCCTATAGAAGACCTTGAATATTTTTGGTATTTTGTTGCAGTTGTTGTTATTATTGCTATTTTTTGTTGTTGTTTTCCAGACAGGGTTTCTCTGTGTAGCCTTGGCTGTCCTGGACTCACTTTGTAGACCAGGATGGCCTCAGACTCACAGCAATCACCTGCCTCTGCCTCCCTGAATGCTGGGATTACAGGCGTGCACCACCGCACCCTGCTTTTCTTGGTTTATTTGAGACAGGGTTTCTCTGTGTAGCCCTGGCTGCCCTGGAACTCACTCTGTAGACCAGACTGGCCTCCAACTCACAGAGATCCTCCTGCCTCTGCATCCTGAGCTGGGAGTAAAGGTTGTGCCACCACTGAATTTCTTTAAAAATCTTTAAATCATATTTCTTACGTGTTCATGAACATGTGCATGTCATGCAGATGGAGGTCAGAGGATAATTTGTGAGAGTCAGTTCTCTTTCTGTGATGTGGGTCTCGGGATGGAATTCAGGTCATCAGCCTTGGCCAAAAGCAGCTTTACTTACCAAGCCATCTCATTGGCTCTGATCTTGAACTTCCTCCTATCGCAAATTCCTGAGTGCTGGAGACACAGGTATATGTTGTCATGGTACCAGGAATCAAACCTTGGGCTTTGTTCATGCTACTTGGGCACTCTTCCAAATGAACTGTCTCTCTCCAGCCAGGACAATCTGTTCTTATCCCAACTCAGCAAAGGTCCTGGAACATATTTGGATATGACAAATGTTGAAAGAGTGATGGGTAGAAAGAGGACTGAGTGCTGGCCGGAAAAAAAAAAAAAAAGACTAAGCTTCAATCATGCACATAGCAGAGGCCTTTGTGAGCTTATGTGTAGGGTGAGAATCATCCTTGGCCACGCCAATACCTATTTCTCCCAGGACCGGATGGTGAAAAACACCATTCTAACTCATTGAATGATCTTATCTCCTTTATTACAATGAATTTGGCCGTGGAGTATGGCAGGTGATGAGTTTAATACAGTCAGATTTGAGCTACAGAAATATTGATTTGGTGCAGAGTCGGGGAAGGTCTGAAGAAGAGACTAAAGGGACAGAGGAAAGAGGACAGGGATTTGAGGAGAAAAATCAGTGCCCCAGATAATCCCAGGACCATGGCAGAGTAGCTATGTTCTCATCCACGGCAAGGTTAGCTCCATTCTGGTCCATGGAGCCTGAGGACTGGGAATGAGGCAGTCCAGAGAGCAAAAGCCAAGACTGCAGGATCCCCAGAGGCTCACAGAGTGGTAAAATAGAACCCGCTGTAGACACAGCCACTTGCAAAGGAAGTTTTCAGGCAATGAGAGGGTTGTAAAGGCAGAGCGGTGCCAATTACAGCAGCATTAGCCCGGATTATGAAGCTCCTGGGCGGCTCCTGCTTCCAGGCATGCTGTGCCCGGGAGTTTCTAGGGGACACCTGGGATCCCAATGTCCAAGTTACCAGGTACAGGCTCTAAGCAAATATAACACCAGGACCTGCACTGACCTGCCTCTTTTCACCAAGGATGTGGAGCACCAGGAGGTAGGAGTATCTCTCCTCCTCTCTTTCACACGCACACATACACACACACACACACACACACACACACACACACATACACACATGGTGGGGCAGGCTGACAGAGGGAGAGGAGGGAGAGTTTGGATGCCATCTCTGCAGAAAGTTTGACTTACCGTGCACTATCCCAGCATCAGGTCCCTTAATCGCTTTCTTTTCCATCCCTACCCTGACCTGTGGAGACACACTCGCATCCATCGGGAGCCAGCCCAGAGTTGCCCTATCTCTTCCAGGCTTGCATGCCCTTTATCCCGTCAGTGTCTCTCAGTGTCTCTCAACAGTCGTTTCTGCTTTGGTAAACCAGGTAGCTCTGCCTCTCTCCCCACCCCAATCTGCAGGTCTGTTTTCAGATTAAGTGAGATGTTGCAGATGAAAAATCCAAAGACAGAAAAAGCAGTACAACCTCCCATGCCTGACAGTGTCTGTGGAAACAGAAAACCTCCATGCTGGGAGCTCCAGGGATCTCTTGTCATCATTTCCCACAGAGAAGATACAGCAGGTACAGTCCAGGTGGTGGCTTGGAGGCTGTTCCCCCGCAATACCTCACACAGAGGTTGAAAAGCTGTGAACAGCCAAAGAGGCCATTGATAGGGGCCTGATTAAATTAGGACCATCCGTCCTGACAGCCCCCTGCTGTAATTAGAGTCTGGCAGCATCCATACTGTCTCGGGCAGAGCCCCACGTGGCTTTTGTGAGCAAAGCCAATGCAAACAACACCTACAGAATGACTGCACAAGCTCTTCAGAAACCTCCCACCAACACCCTATCCTTCTTCCATCCAGATACAGGGAAGCCAGTAGCCCGGTGCTAATCTCTAGGGAGGTGACTCCGATGGAGGCAGGTGCATGGGAGCAAATTTCACCGCGCTGGAGTTTAAATGTTTCACCACACTCGGCGTCTGTGTCACCTGCTTGCACGCACAGTGAAAAAAATCCAATGCCAACTGCAGCAAACAGCACTTAACCAGCATTCAATCAAGGCTCGGGGCGGGGGGAGGGGGTGGCGGCTGTAATTACAACCACAGTTTAAGGAGGAACCGGCAGAGGCTCCCAGGGTCTCCCATCGATGCCCCCAGTCTGGAGTCTAGATTCAGGGTTGAAGCCCCTCTGGTGGGCAAATGACATCCCCAGACATCTAGGAGGGGCAGATTGATGCCACTCAGCTTGGCTGGGCTGAGGCAATGGCCCACCTCTCCTGGAAGAGCTGTCTGCCAAGAAAACTATTGAACTACATAAAAATCCATTCCTGAAGTCCCAGAGGCATCCTTAGGCTGGAACATGGCCTTTAAATTAGATGGAGGGAGGGAAGGCAGGTTTGGCCTGTAACTCGATTTCAGGTTAGTGAGAGCTAGCGGCCTAAGAACTGAAGCTGCCCCGCCCCTGCCCCCAGCACAGGCCACCCACTAAAGTCCTGTGATACTGACTGTGAGGGACACTCCAGCCCCCACTAAGAATCACTGATAACAAGCACATGTTCCCATGGAAACTGCTGCACAGAATCCTCAGGAAATTTTTTTTTTCTGGGTGTAGAAGCACAGCTCCTGTACCTAGCTGCTGGGTTTGGTTTCTAGAGGTGATTTTTTTTTTTTTTCTGCAAAGATGGGGGAGTTGGAGCCAACTGAGGGGCCAGGCAGGGGCCATCTACTTCCAACCACTTACTACTCTTGAGGGAGGCTGAAGTGGTGAGCCTGAGGGTGTCAGGGCCCTTGAAATGTTCCTGATGCCCTAAGAGTCTGTAGAAACCAGCAGGTGGCAAGTCCTCAGAGGGACAGCAGCCTAGGCCAGGAGAGTGTGGAAATCCCTCCAGTCAGGGAGAGGGACTAAATCCACCAAACAAACAGTCAGATCAGCCTCTCTTACGGTTCCAAGGCTCTCCTGCCACCCTCTCTCCTGAGTACTCTCCCAGCCGTGTTCCTTCTTGGGGTAGGGGTTGACACTATACCCAGAACCACCACCTTCCTTCTGCCTCCCCTCCCACCTCCTACCCCTGTAGCTGGGGAAGCTCCAACCTGCCTCCTGAGAGGAACGCTTCTATTTATTTATTTTTTATTTCACATCCCGACTGCAGTTTCCACTCCCTCTTCTCCTTTCACTCCCTCCCCCACACTTCTCCTCCCCCATCCACTCCTCCTCCGCTTCTCTTCAGAAAAGAGCAGGCACGGATGAGTATCAACCAGCCATGGCATATCAAGCTGCAGTAAAACCAGGTATCTCCTGCTCTAGCAAGGCTGGACTAGGCAACCCAGTGAGGGGAGAGGGTCCCAAAGGCAGGCAACAGAGTCAGACAGCTCTTGCTCCCACTGTTCCGAGTCCCACAAGAAGACTAAGCTAAACATGTCTGTTTCTGCCCCACCCCCACCCCCAGAGCATGTTTGCTCTGTCTCTCTCCAGACTCCTCCCATTGTCCTAGCAGTTTGAATCTCAAGAAAACACACATTCACCCACTCTCTCGAGACAGGGCCCGGGGACCTCCCTACCTGTCCCTACTACAACAGCCTGAGTGGCCTGGATTGTCACTTGAAACTCAGGCTCAGGCAGGCAGGTAGGCAGTGACCGTCAAGTCTGAGCTGCTGCTGAGAGGTAGAGCTGGGTCCTTCCTATGGGAAGTTCTATGGCCACCCAGCCTGCTTCTCCTCGAATCTCCCTTTCCATTCAAAGCCCGACCCCAAGGGGTTCACAGGGCGCCTTCTCCTCTTCCATCACCGTCATCTTCACCCCTCATCCTTGCATCAGCTCTCGTCTTCAGGCCTGGGGCAGGGGACCGGGGACTCAGTCTTCTTTGTTGACTACTGGGAGACCCCAAATATTCTTCCTTCACCTTCCCTAATATGGAAACCCCTCTTGTATCCCGTCCTTCACCCTGAACCCTCCTTCTCTTCCTCCTCCTCTCTTCCATTCCCTTTCCTTCCCAGACTCTCACTCCCCCCCCCTCCCCTGTGCCCATCTTTGCCCCAACCACTCAGCCACCACTCTGGCAATGCCTGTGTACCCAGGAGAGGCAATGGGTCAGTCTTCCTGGGGCTGCTGGACCACTGCAAGGAGCTGAAATTTTATTCCAAGTGAAGTAGAAACTGCGGAAGGCTTTTTCATGGGAAAGGCCTTTCGTGGGAAAGATGGAGTATGTCTTAGCAGGTTCCCTCAGCTGCTTCGTAAGGGTGGCTGCTGGGAGACGTGGGTGCTGGGTCCTGAGCCAGGGCACAATATGAAGCCCCACCAGGCTTCTCTCACTCCCCTGGAAAGGGCTGAAAAAAAAAAAAAAAAAAAAAACCCAAGTCCTGGTCAAAGAGTCCAGAGACTGGATGTAGAGCCAGGAGGTAAGAGATGCAATAGCCAAGCTCCTGCTGGCTAAGTCCCAGCGCTGACCTTCATCTCAGGCTGCTGGAGTCAAGAGCCTGGAGGCAGCTCTGTGCCAGGCAGTTTCCCTTCTTCACAGACCGGGAATTCATTAGGCCAGCCTGGAGGAGCACGGGCCATCACTCAGCCTGGCAGCCCATGAGGAGCTTTGCTTAATGGATGTTTACAGAGTAGGGCCAAGAACCGGGCTTGTAGGTGGCAGGCCATCCACCGGGCCCACAAAAGCCTGGTGCCTCTGTCCGATGGCACAGGGCTTCTGGAGTCAGTCTGTGCCTTCCTCTCTAGCCTTTAGGTACTGCCTGAGGGGTTCAGTACTGCTCGGGCCGGGCTAGGCGTGTCTGCACGTGGACACCTCCACATTCCCTGGGTTTCTGAATGAGACCATCCCAGGAACTTTCGAAGGAGCCTAGAAAAGTAGGGGAGGTAGATTGGCCTGTCCATTTCACAGCTAAACTGACTCTGGGAAAGCCAAAGGAGAGGCAGGCTAAGGCCGAGGGAAGTGGGGTGTGTGACAGGAGCCCTGTGGCCCAGGGCACTGAGACCTCCAGTCCTTGTCCTCCAAGGAGACGGCTTCCCTGTCGCAGGGCTGCCTGGAGGGTGAAATGAGGGTGTCCCCTGAATGAGTTCCTGGAGGGCCAGAAAGGCTGAGGGCCAGGCGTTGGGGAGTTCTTGTCCACCCTGGTTGGTCTGAGTGACTCTAGCACAGAGGCCCCCCTACCTGCCCAGGGAGACCTAGCAGCAAGCCACACAGCTGAGTAAATGTGGGAGAGAGGGGGCGTGAAGACAGCCAGGCTGGTCTCTGCCCGAAGGCCGGATGGGCCTAAAGCAAATAAATACAGAGGAAAAGGACATGAAGCTGCAGGTGGGGTTCAGATTAGACCACAGGAGGGGACTTGGGGGGCAGGGGACTGGGTCTAAGGGTAGAATAAGGAGTAGAGGCCTGGAGAGCCAAGGATGGCAGACAAGGTAAGCCTACACAAGCTGATGGGCGCCGGCCTGGGGTTCTTGTTGGGGGAGGGGAGCTCCTGTTTAGTTGGCCTCCACCTTTGTCCCAGACAAGCTAGATTATCCTTTCTTGCCAGCATGTACGAAGCTTTCCGGCTCCTGGCCCTGGCTCATCGGCTCATATCTGGGAGCCTCCATACCCAGGCCCAACCAGCTTTTGTGAAGTTCTTTGACTGCATTCTTCACCTCTCCCTAGCCATACCATTTTCCAGTTCCACCCAGCATGTGCCCAGCTAGTACAAGCCTTTGGGCTAACTGAGCAGGTAGAGTGGCTCAGTGGCCAGGCATATCCCTGACAGGGGTCCTACTGTGTTCTCCTAGGGGCAAGTCTGCCTGTGAACCAATGCGGGCCGGCGGGCACCAAGAGAGCCACACACACAGCTCAGCAGGGGTGGCAGTACGGGCTGAAGACAGAAAGAGGTGGCGTCCAAGAGAGCCCCGTGGGATGGAGGAACACTTTGCCTATGGGGCCAGGAGAGGAATGGCTCTCTTGGATGGAGGCAACAGCCTGGGCAAAAGCCCAGAGACTGTTCAGGCTCAGATGCGGAATGTGCAAGCAGGCCCAACTAACGCAGGCAGAGCCTGGAATGCGCAGGTGAGGTGATGGCATATCCCGAAGGCCTACTCCTGGCCCAGGTCAGGTCCTTGGACAAGAGAAGTGGCTCTGGGTTCTAATCCAAGACAAGGCTCGGGGCCTGTAGAACTTCTTCCTAGAGATTTTCATAGACGAGGTTAAATTCATTGTCATCCTCAAACCTGTTCCGTTTCTCCTAGGAGAGAAAGAGAGAGATAGGAAATGGGGAGAAAGAAGGGGGAAATATTACATAAGAAAAGAACAAATTTGAACCCATGTTTATTTGTTTGTCGAGTTGAACTGGCAGTGTAGCCCAGGCTGGCCTTGAACTCATTACGATCTTTCTCCACCAGCCTCCAGAGTACCTGGGGCCAGGGGTGTGATAGACTCGAGTCACCATGCCTGGCTATGAGTTTGTACTGATTTAGTCTTGTTTGGAAGCAGGCAGATAGCTCACTTTGACAGGAAACATGACCTTTGCCTCCAAGCCCACCCTTCTCCCTACCATGCCTCTCCACACCTGCCCTCCCCCTCAACCAGCTCCCCTAGCCAGATTCCCTAGCCTCTCCCCCATGGCCTTTCTTTGGTCTGGAATGTGAGCCCTTCCGTACAGCCACCCAGTGCCTAACTAGCAGAATCCACCTTGCAGGGTGCACCAGGGGGTGGGGGGGAACACCCGGAGGAGAGGAGGGAGGGAAAACTGTGGCTGGTAAGTAAAACGAACAAATAAACAAGTAAAAAAGAAGCAGGGAGCCTCCTCCTCACACTGGTCTAGCCTCTCCACAAGGCCTGGCCCTCCAGGATACCATTATCTCTGCATGCCCTTGGGGTGAGTAGTTTATTCCTGCAGAGTAGGCTCCCGGAAGGCAGAAGTGTACCTCGTTTTTCTGCCTAGCGCCCCAGAGCCTGATCCTATATAGATACTGACTGAGATAGCTACCATAGGCTCAGTGGTCCAGGGTTGGAGACCCTGCCTACAGTCAGGGCCTAGTTCAGGGTTTCGAGACCTAGAGACTCAACAAACACTTCCAGCCCCGGGCCGAGGGAGGCAGAGCCCCAGTTCTCGTACTCCTTGAGGCTGCTCCAACATGCTTAGAGACCACCCACCTTGCAGGCCTTCCCCACCCGCCTGACCACACTGCTGCTTTGTAGAGTTCAAAGTTCTGGTGCCCGTGTTATTCTTTTGAATTCTGGCAAAGCTGGTGGCGCAGGTCGGTGTTACTCACCCATTTTACAGATGCGCAAACTGAGCCTGAAGAGGGAAAGTGTGACTAAGCAATGACCCTGGGGCCCTGTGATAGTGTGGAGCAGGCCAGCCAGAGCTGGCAGCAGCACACAACTGGAAGCCTAATGCTCTCACTTGATTGGCCGGTGCAGGCTTTGTGCATTGCTCACCAGCGGTGGTTGTGACCCCC